AATTGTAGAGAAATAAACATGAACTCTGGGTTCTTACAGGGAACATACTGTATGTGCTTTGCTTACACAGGAAGGCAAATTCATTCTTCAACATTCTTCAGGCAAATGTGGCTTAAAAGGCTGGACTTTGTGGCAGAGCAAGCATATGAAGAGCATGATCGGAAACAGAAGGGTTGGGGGGGGGGTTTGAACCTGGGACCAGAACCAGCCCCCCCCCACCCCACAGCCAAACCAATTCTAGTGATGACGGCCTAAAGGTAAAAACATCCTGTGTCCCTCATTGGACGAGAAAGAATACATATAATGATGTACTCAGGAGTACAGAGCTGCAATAATTTGCATCTTTTAGATCTGCCTGGAGTTCAGTTTTTATTGATCCTTCGGTTTCTATCAGTTTACTCAAGTGAGGCGGTTTATAAAATAAGCAATAATTTGATCTTACCAGCTTCCTAGCCCAGAGGGGCATCCTGCCATTAGTCTGCAGGAATGAAGGGTCTACAGTAAGAAAATAAAAAAAAAATAACGTCTACTAATAGTTAAAGGAAAAAGACCTTCTGTAAACACTTGCACACATAGTTTCACTGTCCATGCACTGTATCATATATACTTTTACACACATAGTACTACAGGACCAAAACTTAAAGTAAAGTCCATTATCCCCTTGGTACAACACCCCCCTCCCTCCCCCAAATAAACAAAATACATTGTGCCAGTCATTAGGTGCATCAAATTTTCTTCCCTTATTTTTACTTGGTGATCCTGCCAGTAACTTCCTGTCCTAAGGTGCCCCTCCAATGCAGTGAGCATTGTCACCCTGGGACAGGAATTGTGGTAGAAGTACAGAACATATTCCTCTCTGCTTATTTCCATAACACAGGGGAGAAGTGTTTTGTAGTTCACAGAGGTTCTGATAACACAAGGTGATAGTACTGATTGAGATAACAGCAGACAGAGTACATGAACTTGAAAGCTCACTGTGTTTCTGGCCGATTATTATTACTTGCACGTACATAATCCACAGTTAATATGCATTCCAGTGGATACTGGAATCCACAGTTAATATGCAGCACCTACCTCCGTCAAAGCGATCCACAGAAGGGGTGTCCATTGATGGCTCATCAGCATTACTACTCTTATCCAAGAACAAGTCATCATGAGAGCTCTCATCCAGAAAGTCTACCAAGAACGTTTGTCTCCTAAAAACAATATCAATATTTATTACAATAAAGTCTTATGAAAATTGCCAAACAAATTGTATCCTGCTAATGGCTGCGAGTATATAAAAAAATATTACAGCCTATTGTAATAATGGGTCAGTCCATCCAAAAGTGATATTTAGGCATTCGGTGGATCCTGATGGGCTGGTTCAGCCTGTGACTTCTTGTTGGAATTTTCAGCGGTGGGATCTCCCCGACATATTTCCAAGCTGTCCCTGTGTACATAGAAATTGCAGTTGCTCCCTCCTGTCGGTGTGTTCTAGCATCCTCTGCTGTTATTTTTCAAAATATATGGAAAATGGGAATGACAAGCTCAAACAAGAAGACTGCTAACCTCTCATAATGGCCACAAGAGGTGCAGACCCCTAAACTCAAAGGTCTCACTAACTAGAGACCTCAAGAACTATAAGAAACTGTCAATGTGATTGGCATTCCAGCATCTACCAGATCTAAAATATCAGTTTTGGGTAGAATGACCCTTGAGCCAATAAATACCAGATCATAAGAAGATTAAATGGTAGGTTCAGATAAAAAACCCTAGATAGGAATGTTTTTTACCTTTTAAAGGATGTTTACATTTATTTACCTTTAAGAGCACCATTCCTTGCTACGCTGCATGATTATGCAGCATGGAGGCCAGAACTTTTAGGTCACAGTTACACTTTTGCTCGATATACAAAAAGCAAAAAAAAAATTGTAATTTTTGAGCAAACATACTAAAATGGATACTTACCGCAGATTAATGTGACTTTCGTCATCAATCACAGATGTGGTTTTTCCTGCTAGTGAATTCTCATCTATGTGCTGCCTCATACATGTTGTCATGATGGGATCCAGCTGCCAGATGAACACACAGCTATAGGAAACACAAGATGTCAAACAGGATTTGACAAGTGGCCAGTACTGTGGTCAGGGTTCCTGAATATAAGGACAATACTGGATGACGCATTTCAGACTCAACGTAATGTAAAGTTACAACCAAGGACGTCAGGTTCAAAATACACCATCTGGTATTATTTCACATATGCTGAAGTTTTAAATAAGGTGTTATTTTGGATGCTGGGGGTACTCCTGCTTTCTATGAACTTGTTATGGAGTGGAGAGATCAGTGCTGACCTAAAAAGTGGGTGAGAAAAGGGTTGGCAAGGAGCAACCTTGTATTTTACAACATACAGAATCTGACAGATTCATTGGCTTCCACCTAAACTGTCCCTATCCGAGTACCTATATGACTGGATTTTCAACCTGGCTAACTATGCAACTATGTGACCTCATAAAGCTTTAAAGAACATCTTATGAATGTTAGCATGAATGGTAACCAATATCCAGTGTAAAGCTTAATTGCATTGCAGCACAAAGATGTAAACCAATTTGACATAGTGGCGCCTCTTGGTCTGGCCTTTGCCCTAGGTTGGAATTGGGAAGCTCTGTATGGTTATATGAAAAAAATAAGGAAAGGATATTATTAGCTGAATACCTATAAAGGCAGTACAAGAATAACAACATTACTCTAAAAATCCTAATAGGAAAAAAACTCTGATACAGTTGGACTCAACTATGAGGAAACATCCCCCACAAAGCCTCAGTGAGAGGGGATCTTGCCTAAAAAGTTGACCTTGCACTTTACAGCAAGGTCTGCTTTAAATGTAATCTCCTATGCAAACATTTTTTTTGGGGGGGGTGTATTTAGAAACTCTGCTAAACTACATAGCCATGGTACTACTTCCAGGTCCATCTCCCTGATAATTGAACAGCGGTGATTTATTGTCCAATGGGCAGACCGGAGGTGGAGAAGTGACACAAAGTTACATTGCCAATTCAGAAAATACATGTGGCACCTTCTGGCTGTGCAGTGTGGCAAAGCCAACCATGCAAGTCACAAGGCTGGCTGAAAGGAATCAAACATCCTATATAAGCAAAAAAAGGTAAAAACTATTTTCATTTGGATCTACAATGATCAACTTTTTGCTCAGGATTTTCATTTTTTAACCAGGAAGCAATCAACAAAACGACTGTTCCTTTAATTTGAGTTTGAATTGTGAAGAACAAAATAACCCACAGTGCAAAAAGTTATACTTTCTTATAATTCAACTTCCTGGATTATCGATCATAAATGTCAAGGGATTGTCAGATCATCATTCTGTTATCACAGAAAATAAAACAACTCCAACTAACCTGTCACCAGAAACCGTGATCAGCCTTTTGCAGTCATATGTGAACTTCATGTCCGTAACAATATCTGTGGAATAATCATTTTCATACAGATTGTTAAAAGACAGTTCACTGAGACTGTAGAAACACGAATTCCACACCAACAAAAAGAAATTTCCACATTAAAGTTTAATACCGGAAACTCAATGTCTTGTAGAGGCTCAGGTATGTAACTGGCAAACTGTATGTCAAAGAAGTATCTAAAGTATTGATCCTTATACAAGACCAAAAAGGATTCTTTGTGAGATGGGGCTGTCAGTTCAGACAGACATTCTCCTCACAGAGGGTACAGCTACAAGGAAAACCAACCTTTTGTGAGAGAGTAAAGGTTCGGAAGGTCTCTAAGGGGTTCAAACAATGGTTTCTGGAGTGCAGAGAGAACGAGATTAAGAGCCCATTAAGTCACAGGATAGCCTATATGTTTTGTATAAATCTGCAACCAATCTTAAACTCCCACCTTTGTTTTCCAAAGAAAAGATCTAGCCTCTAAATCAGTGGTTCTCCACCTGCGTAACCTCAGGACCCACATTTGTCATTAAGTCGTTATCCAAGTCGCACTGCAATGGAACGCACGGCATTGCGGTATCGCGCATTCCGGTGCGGGCGATCGAACTGTGGGTGGGAGGTGCGTTTGGAGTGCCATTCAAATGAAATGGCAATGCAACACACCTTCCACACCAGGATGTGCGGTAGGTGCGATTGTGTGGTAAAGTGCATTAATCTCTGTACTAGTGTAATTGGGAACTTAAAAACATTGACAGACATTCTCACATACACACTCCAAATTTTTTTATTTTTTTTTAAGATCCACCTAGTCTCCCTACCTTACGAGAACTGGAGTGGACCCTCAGCCTGAGGTCCAGTGTGGGCTGCTATGCTGTGATGGAGCTCCATCCTTATATGCATTGTTTCTACAGCTCCCTTGCGCACCCTGTAGATGTGACGGGAGCCAGAATGTGATGTCACTCCAGTCCAGGCACCTGTATAGGTCACGTGAGGGAGCTGTAAGGAATGTACGTATGGATGGAGCTCCCTCGCAGCCATAGCCTCATCCCACCTTAAGCTGACACTCGGCATCGGCACATTTTGAATGGCTGCTTGGTGTGAGAACTGACAGTGTTGCGCAGGGGAAAGCAGAGCAGCCTCTCGCCTTGTGCAGTGGAAGGCATGCGGTGACCCAATGAAAACGGGGTTGCGACCCACCAGTTGAGAACCAAGGCTCCAAATGCACTGAATGGGAAATGACACATCAGCAACAATTAGTGCAGGCATTGGTAAGAAGTAATCATAAGCAAATCTTATATCTGCCAAAGAACTCTTCATCTATATGGCCAGTGGAATAGTTCAGTTAGCAAGAGACAGGTCTTATATGTACTAGGTGAACCATTATTTTACCAAATCATGGGGGGAACAAAATTCTTTGCTCATCTCTAATAGGAGCACAATCAACATCCACTCTATTACTCAAATACATACAAGTAACAAATAAAAGACTGACCAGAGTGCCCATACATCATGGCTACACATTCCCCAGTTTGCAGGTCGAACAGAGATATGCTTTTATTGGAACAGCTTGTGGCAAAGAATCTTCCAGAGGGATCCATCTGCACCTGTATTTGGATGAAGAGCAAATCAGTAGGCATACAGAGATGACAGCAACCCACTCACACTTAATAAGGCGCGCAGTAATAATCAAACCAGTAGTGTAAGTACACATGCAAAATTGTTCACATAGCACTAACAGTCTATAGAAGGTCACACATAGCCAGCATTGTGCAGATACAAGTGTATTAAGAGAGAGTGGAGAGGGGGCAGAACAGTTATTGTGGAGATCAGGTCTGGAGGAACTCAAGTTGGGGAGTGCTGTGAAGGTCAACTGGGAGTCAGAGATGTCAGCTGAGACTCCTTTTGGTCTGACATTTGGATTGCTTTCCCATCCAATACCTGACCTCATGTGGTCTTCCAGCTCCATAGTATGTACAAGCATAAGCATGTACACTATTATCAGCATGGAGGTCAAGCAGTTGACAGGACAGGAATGCTCAGACCTTAGGGGGTACTCTTGGCTCTAGAGTTCTATTCCAACATACAGTATTACTATATAAGGGTGCTAATATAAATATTTAATGGGTAGGCTTGCACGGTTATAACAAGCTAAGAATGAATACTGAAGTTCTAGCACAAGCTGGGTGGTATCCGGCCCCTTAACATTTGGGCAATATGCAGCCATAGACATAACCTGATTATGGTATGGCTTTGCATTTCCGGGCTGTTTAGGAGCATTATCCAGAATGTGCCGTGCACTGCGGACGTCACCATAAAAAGTATTTTATTAAAGACCAGGGTGAGTGTCCCTGGCTTTCGGCTGCCCGCCTCTTATGCGTTTCACCCTGATGGGCTTAATCGTAGTGACCATAGAGATAATATTGTCTCTGTGGTTAGGCCTGTCAGGGTGGAACGAGTTAGAGGTGAGTGGCTGCCAAGTTCCTCTGTGTCTTATGCTGTCTAGGAGCGGACACATACACAGCCAACAACCTTGCTTGACATAAATGTTGTCTGTGGGTGTTCAGTGGTCAGTTCATTTGACAGTACCTACTATCGAGGACAGGGGTGGGCAACCTTACAACTCCAGCTGTTGTGGAGTTCCCATAGTTCCCACAAGTCCCATAAGTCATTGCAAGACTGACAAGCCACAGGCTTGATTTCCAGAGGCATGACAGGATTTGTAGTTCACCACTGCCTTACGATACCTCAACCTTGTGTGAAAAATGAAAATGAAACAGCTGCAGTGTATTTCAGTGACCTACTGTTGTCCACCATATAATAATTTGCACCACCGGTGGAGTGCTCAAGTTGCCTTCTCTAATATAGGGTCATCTAGCATCCTTGCCTGCTTACCTTTAATAAGGCTCCCGCACTCTGAGAACTTTTGACCGTCTTCTCTTGTTTACCGCTTGTAACATTGTAGAATCTAGAAACGTACAGAACATAATATGTGATATACCATGATGTCACTCATTTCCTACCATTCACTACTACCGTCCATACAAAACAGACACATCCTGTAACAACCGCGTTCATGCAAGGATTCCACTGACATTCGTTGAGGGACACCGTACACCACTGGAATATTGGGATTGCCTCAACAATGGTGACTCATATAGTTCTATGTGGACAGGTTCCTTTTAATATCAGATCTGGTACTGACATTTGTGTACGAGTTTATGTCTAGGTAAAAAAAAAAAAAAGTTAATACTCATCCGAACCTCAGAGCTGGCCGTCTGTGACACTGCTTCCTCCAGTCGGTCTCCTTCTCCATTGCAGCGATGGTATGTCCCTCGACGTCTTCACATCCTATAGACGGTGTATAGAACGCGATGACTCAGGGACCTTAGACTGCTGCAGTGGGTGTTCTGCATGCAAATGCAGCCTGCTTAGGAGTGCCCACTTCTCCAGACTGACACCAACACAACATGGCATTTTGAGATTTGCAGAACTCCTCCCGAGTGCCAGCCCACTGCTTGCATCAGAGCTCTTAAGAGCAGTACCGAGGCAGGGTGCTGTGATGTTTTCAGGTAGCTATGTACAGCACCCTGTCAGCCCCTCCCACCAGCTTTGATTTGCCTGCATTACATACAGAAGCACAGAGACCCAGTAATGACATCACTGGATCTGAAATAGGGTATGTCATGAAAATGGAAAGGTTTTGTGTTAGCATGTTGATGAATGGAGAAAGGAGGTACCAGGGAAGTCCGGATATAATCAGATGAACTTTCAGCTTTAAAACCATCCTCTTTGCAGTAAGAACTTTATTTTACATATTTATTTTAGTGGCAGAATTGCATTTTCTGAGGAACTGCCTCACGGGTTAATTTAAAGCAAGTTAACCATCTTCATCATTCCAGCTTACGGCATTAAGATATTAGAATCAGAACACGCTATACACTATGTTTCCCCTTTAAGGAAATGGAGCACATTGCACAGAGGGTGGTCAACACACATGTTTAATAAAACGGTTTCCCATAAGATGGGGTCACTTACCTTATAGTTTTATCCTGACACGCAACAGCTGCAATCTTCTGGGTGACATCAATATCCAAGTCATACAAAGTTGTTTTCTCCACGACATGGTGTAAACGCAAGAAATGAATCCCTTCTGGGAGCTAAACATAAGAGAAAGTGAAAAACGCGCTCCACTGGGGGCAGATAGTAGCACTGCTTACCAAGATCTTATTTTAAAGGGTAGTGGTTACCAGTGACACTATGAAATCTGAACCTCCATTCAGGAAATATTAGAATAGAAAATCCTTAGTGCTCTGGGAGGCTTTTTTTTAATTTTATTATTTACTTGTTTTCTCTCCCTGGCAAAGCAGAAATGTCAGGCTGAGTATAAGGTTCACTTATCTTCTTCATGAACTGAGTGATAACAGACATTCATAGCAAGGCTGCTGACAGGAAGACACAAAGCAACAAAATACTTTGCTAAAGTTGTCAGTTTACTATCCAACAGCCCAGACAGAGTAGAAGTTATTAGCCCTAAGTAAGCTTGGGCAGCAGACAGAGAAGCCTCCATAGGAGGGGGGGTTTCTACCAACCTGACATTTCTGCTCTGACAGGGAGAAAATTAGGGATGCACCGATACCGGTTTTTCAGTATTGAGTACCAATATTTTTTTTTTTTACTCGCCAATATCGAAAGTTCCATTAAGGAAGCCAAGCAGCGTGTAATGACTTGCCACCTGGCTTCCCGATTATCATGTAAGCCAGCTCCATGCTCGATTGTCACCATGTGACGAGGAAGCATGGAGCTGGCTTTCTGGCCAATCAGGAAGCCGGGCGCTGTGTAATGACTCGTAGCTCGGCTTCCCGGTTTGCCAGGAAGCCGGCTTTCTGGCCAATCAGAAAGCTGGGGGGCAAGTAATGACTCGTCGTCCGGCTTCATAATTGGTCGGGAAGCCTGCCAATCAAGAAGCTAGGCGGCAAATCATTACACGCTGCCCGGCTTCCTGATTGGCCGGGGAGCTGGCTCCATGATCTCTCGTCACCAAGTGACGAGGGAGCAAGGAGCCGGCTTCCTAGCCAATCAGGAAGCTGGGCAGCATGTAATGACTCGCCGCCTGGCTTCCTGATACCGGAAGTATCGGGCTAGGCATCAGAGCATTTGGCCGAGTACTAGTACCAGTGCATCCCTAGAGAGAACTAAATAACTGCACAGATCTATGTAGGGTTGCAATACTACAACACCTGAGAACTATAATAATTTGCCAACAAGGTATTCCCAACTGGTTCTGTTTAAAATTGTGTACTTACAATATGTCCTCCAAAAAAAAGAAAACAGTAACAATAATATAGGCACCAGAATTCTACCTGAACGCCTTGGCTGATGTACTTGCCCATCTGTTTCCACCCAGCATTAACTTACAAAATTGCTCTATCTCTTAAAAAATGGCTGCTGTAAATAGAGGTACTTCACTTGTCAACATCATATACACCCAAACCCCTTCTCCCATAATGCATTGCTTTCTGGACCACAATGTGGTGGGTGTGTCCTGCTGTGAACGCACATCATCTCACTTCATGAAAAACTATTTTCTAGGCAATAGCCTTGATGTTGCAAAACATTACGTCCATTGGAAAAAAAGAGACGAGCAAGAAGAAACAGGTTATAGGACACGGGTAGGAAACTTTGGCACTCCAGTTGTGGTCAAAACTACAAATCCCACCATTCCTCTGTGAGTCATTCTTGTGGTTGTCAGAGCCTTCCAATGCCTCTTGGGACTTGTATTTCCACAACAGCTGAAGTGCCGAGGTTGCCTGCCCCGGTATTGAATAGGTTCCATGTAGTCTATAGCCAGTGTCTTCTAGTACACGAGGGGTCCATTTATAAAACAGTGGTTTGACATTAGAGTAGCCATACTGCACCTTTAAAAAGGAGTCCCTGTGTGTGTGTGTGTTGTAGCCATGGCTCCAAGCTCCCTCCGCGATGGACTACAATCTCAGAATTAGTTTGGTAATTTGTATTGCGATCCATCACAGGAGCGAGTTTGGAGTGGTGACTACTTTACAACACACACAGGGACCATGGGGAACAAAAGTAGCCACCCTCCATAAGGAAGGACAGTGTCAGCACCAATTCAGAGATGATTTGAGGATCTACAGCCGAGTGATACACAAATAAGATACATTTTTGTTATTAGTTCAGGTACTTGAATGCATGCAGGTACCCACACCGATCTACTTTCAGAAAGGCTTCGGGGCCTCCAATAAATAATTATTTAGTCTTGGGAGGGTCTCAGAAGTAGAAGGAGCTCAGACAAGACAGAGGACCACTTGGTGAAGAAGAGTGTACTGTATGAATTCTTACCACTTGGGCTGGACGAAAATAAATGCTCTTATCTGCTCCACAGGTGATCATGTGCATCTCCTCTGCGTTACCTTAGACAGTGAGAGAATTATATTTAATGTATAAACACATGGTGGATATAAAACTGATCGCACTCATTCACATTATTCAGGTGTAGTATGTATGAAAAGAGTTGTAAAAAAACAGGGATCCGGCTACTTGACCTCATTTATGTGAGGAAGAGGATACGGCGGTCTCAAAGAGGATGAAGCCTAAACCGGGGAACGCGCAGACTCCACGGAATACAAGGATGCCGGAAACTATAAGGATTTGCCAACAGAGCAACCAGGCGCAAAATTTAAATGTCAGTAACGCCATTAGTGTAACAGAACACTGAGGTTGTGTACTGATACAATGAGGACACCCATTAAGAAGAATCTACAGCACAGAACAAGTTGTCATTTCACCACATAGCCTTGATACAACATATAAAAGAAGCATAATGATGAGCTACTTTGATTTGCACAGTTGCTGAATGGTGTATGCTGAATATACAGTACACACACATACACACATGTATTTATACATACACAATATGTAATATCAAGCATTTGTCTTGCAGACTAGATCGAGAGATCAACAGGTGGAACAAGGGGTTCCCATATGATTCATTTATGTCAATTTAAAGTAGGACTATTAGCTATGATGTTTCACAACCCAACTGAAAATACTGCTTATCATGCAGGCAAAAAGCTAGAACGTGGCAAGGCAACAAGCAGGGCATGCTTACCTTTTGGCTCCTGTGCTTTTATTTTGTCTTGTTGTACAAGCTCTGAAGAAAATACTATAGAATATATTAATAAAGAGCTCAAATGCACAATATAAAAACACACCTGCAAACTTCACCGCTGTTATGGAGGAAGAATGGTCATCCAGAGTCTGGAGCAAACTGTAATCACGTTCCACACAGAGTACGTGGATCAGACGGTCCCGGCTGGCCGATGCCAATAGTGTCATACCTGCATGAAAGGCGTAAACCCGAAAGGTGATTTGTCTATACCTAGAATACAAATTCAATACACCAGCTGTATACAATGATGGGACAACTCTTATCAAACCTACCGGTCAAAGGACTGGAGTATTCCAGACACAGAACTTCTCCGTCGTGAGCCTCAATCGTCAGCAACTCCTCGAAGTTCTGAAGATCATATATCCTAAATGGATTTCAGAAATTTAAGTTGTTTGCCTACAGCTTTATAAGCCAATGTGCCCTATGTGTTGCTGCCCAGCAATGCAGTGATAGGAAACAGCTTTGCAACAGAAAGAGAGAGACACACACACACACCCTCGAACAGCTACTTATGAATTTTGCTGCTTGATTCATACAGTATCCAGGTGCCCAAAAATCATATGTCTTGCTGCAAGGAGATATGTATGTATGTATGTATGTATGCATGTATGTATGCATGTATGTATACTAAAAATACCTTATATTTCCCATCCGGTCTCCAGATGCCAGCTGAAGTCCATTGTGGCTCACTTTCATAACACGGATTCCGCTTTTGGAGTCTTTGGGCTCCAGCTTTTCAGAAGTGGTGGAGGCGTCTTTCAAATACTGAATATTGTTCTCAACATATATCACGTTATGCAATTCCTTGAAACAAAAGAAAAAGTATATTAAAGTGCTCCCACCAAACACGTGGCATAGGCATTTAACAAAAGAATGTGGGGATTACACTACTATAGATGTTCCTCTTCAGAGCCGGGTATGAGCTCCTCTCCAGGTTCCAGAGACGGATGGTGTTGTCCGAGGAACAGGTAAAAAACGAGCCCTGGCTCAGACGCATTTTCCTTCCGATTTCAGGATACACCTTAATGACACAAGCAAGACTGGAGCTCAGCCACAGATCCAGAAGGTCACCATAATACTATCAGCTTTTGCGTTACCGATTGGCCAACAGCATTAGACAAAACTTGCCTCTATATTCCAGACGTAGGAGCTGTGATAGAGAGCCGAGTAAACCTTTCCAACCTTACGGGTGTTGCTGACATCCCACACGTATATACTGTGGTCATTATACACACAGCACAGCCACTGATTGCCTTCATCGTACACAAGAGCGCAAGTGTCCGCATAACTGGCATCCTCCTGCTTTACAAACAGAGAGCTGCAAGAGAAATGATACACTAAGCATTACACAAGCATACCCAAACCCGAGAACAAAAATGTAATATATTGCAGCTTGCAAGTCTTTGGATGGAGTGGCTACTTTAGATTTTATTTTTCAGGCTTTTTTCACCTTTATTTTCAACTGGTGATCCTGCCAGTAACAGACTTCCTGTCCTAGGGTGACAACGCTCACTCACTGCATTGTATTTATAGAGAAACAGCATTGCCACGCTAGTAAAAGACTACAAAAACACCTTTCTTTCTCTATAACAGAGGGGAAGGGGTTCTGTAGTCCTCAAAGAGAGCTAGGAACAATGTAACTGACACGAATGCAGCACAAGTAGAGAGCAAAGGCAGTGAGAGAAAATTCCAAATTTTAGGTTGGCATCTAAAGAGGAATAGATGGGAAATCTTCTAATGGGGACACTAGTTCTGGTGACGCCGATGACCAGCAGGGATTTCTCTCACTTGCTGTTGTGGAATCTTCCCAGAGGGCAACATGCCAAACAAAAACAACAAAACAACACACACACACGTTATAACTCTCCCTTACTATATTGGAGGATTTCCTTTAACTTCCTGATAGACACACACACACACAAAAAAAAAAAAAAAAAAGTGATAGGGGTTCGAACCCTTCTGGGCATTCTCTGCTCCGCAGCTGCATGTAAACAAAAGGGTGTGGTGGCTTGTGGTGATGTAATTTACCCAATATGGCCACATAGCCATACTAGGTAAATGTCATTACCAAACATGGGCAAGGTAGTCATTGAAGTCCAGTGATGTCACTGTACCCCAACAATTTACTTATGTCAAGCTTTAAGTTGGGGGAATTTCCCACCAGAAGCTGATAGGACGGCATGGAAGGAGCTCCTTCCCAATTCTAAGGCTCTCCTTTCAGTTTTGCAGGAACTCAGGTTCGGACTGGGTTCTGTAGTGCTGACACATTTCCACACTTCTCGGTGTTTGGAATATTGTGTCCCCTGTTGGCCTCTGTTATTCCTCCCGATGACCCTTATGTCACTACTGTGTCTTGCACTGACAATGACTGTGGGTTGGCAGATGAAACCACAACAGGCAGCTATAAAGACATCCAATGTAACACAGCAGGAGTCAAATAGTTAAGAGTAAAGTGATTTTTTAGGAACTCTCCCAGTCAGGACGCTGATAGAGAATTTGGTCCAAGCTCTCCATATTTGTTACCGTTCAGGGGTCAACGATAATCAACACAGAAAACTCAATAGTTTTCCGTCACAGCTATACACCTTTTGATAACGTGGAACTACAACCTTCTATCCTTTATAGCCAAAGAAGGTGCCATCTTATCCTATATTTGGAATGCAGGTGCCGTGGTGCACATGGGCAACCTTGATAGTAACGGTTTTGGGAGACATTAATTGGTGGTTTTAGCTCCTCAATAAATTAAAATGTCTGGCATTTCAGGCTATGACGGAACATGTGGCTCGCTCCCCAATCTTCTCGGTAATTGGCCCAGTACGGTCACATGTGGGCAGTGGCGACTCTAGGAACAATATATAGGGGGGACGCATAAGATACCACAGTCAAAACTGGGGGGGGCACTAATAATTTTATGAGTCAAAGAAAAGTACAGCACACTGTGGAGGAGGGATCCCTCATCACTGCTGTGCGTAAGAGCAATTGCTGTGACCCTGGTAGTTCTGGTAATGACTCCTGTCAACTGTATAGGGACTACAAATCTCAGCTATACATTATACAGCAATGCAGAATACCACCAACTATAGAGGACTACAAATCCCAGCAATACATTATACAGCAATGCAGAATATCAGCAGCTATAGAGCACTAGAGATCTCAACAATACAGAATAATGCGGTCAGGGGTGCGTGCAACGCAGAGCGCGGCGGTCAGGGGTGCCCCCCTGTAGTGACGCCTATGCATGTGGGTGGAGAGAATATCAACAGCCATGTCTAAGCAATAACCTACATTGTGCTTAATTTGCTTGCTTTCCAAGGCTGAGCAGATTGGTGGAGGTATAAAGCAAGGGAAATTGTGTGTTGCCAAAAGGGGGGGGAGGGGGGGTCCATTAAAGCAAACTTTGCCCCACATGAACAAATTTCAGGTTTGTGTTAAACAACATAACAATGTTAACAATTACATGTGCATTACCTTGGATCCAGCCCCAGAGCAACGTCCACACCCAGGTGGTGAGGTCTAGGTAAATCAGTCACATACTGGAGATTGTGAGCGCTAAATATCCTGACCACGCCCTCCTCGCAACCACAGAACACAAGCTGCTCCGTGACACTCAGGCAGTAGGAGGCAGACACCTGACAGGAACAAAGAGGAGAGAGTTGGCAAACAAGTAAAGCTGAACTCGGGCCCAAAAAAAAGAAAAAGAAATAAGTTAATTTAAATATATTCAAGTTAGTAAACTAAACGGGAGATTATAATCCATGACTGGAGCGAGTTTGGAGCGGTGACTACTTTACAACACGCACCGGGACCACGGGGAACAAAAGTAGCCCCCCTCCAGAAGGAAGGACAGTGTCAGCACCAATTCAGAGATGATTTGAGGATCTAAAGCCGAGTGATACACAAATAATATATACAGGGTTATTCACAAAAGGGTGAAGTCTTTGGAGATGGGAGGAGAAGTGAACAATCTAGGACAACATAGCTGAACTGGAAAGTGAGCTGAATTGGAGAATTGTTCCAAATCAGCTATTATGTCCTAGATTATTCCCTTCTCCCGTCTTCTCCAAACTCTTCACCCTTTTGTGAATAACCCTGACAGTTTTCCCTAATAGTTATGGTACTCAAATGCATTTTTTAAGCTTTAACTCCTGAGTGTTACTTTAAATGCTGAAGGAGCTTCTCAGCTTATCTAAGCAGCTTCTTCGGTTGTAGTGTCAGGAACATACCCTCACATTCTATGGTGGTTGAATTGCAGGGCTAAACAAATCGCAGTAGCCAATGCTCCTTAAAGATGAAAGCTAGCGCCTAACTTCTAAGGTTCTCTAGCTGTTGTCATTGGAACGGGCAGCTAAAAAAAATCCTGCTGGCTCCAGAATAGGACAGATTTGCTCCTGAATACCATATTCATTTGTCCACCCCTGGATTAATGTGATTGAGTTACCGGTGTGGCTATAAATGCTGGAGTACGTTCCTGACATGCATTCGAACCAAACAATGCTATGATACATAGCAATAAATCTTCAACATTGCAAAAAAAGATGACAAAAGTTCATTTAAATGTGACTAATTAGCAATCATAAAATACTTACACCATTGCAATGGCTTCAACCGATGTCCTTTAGTTTAAAATTATAAAATTGCTCAAACCAGTAAACAACTAAAAATTGCTGTTGGTAGAATGCGGTGGACCGGTCTCATGTATGAGCCTCACGCCTCCTCTGAGGCTGACGGATATAAAACATAGACAAGATTGGGGATACCTCATATGTCCATGTGTGGTGCTTGTGACATGGTCCTTTCAGATATTTATCCCCTATGACCAGATAGATCAGCTTCACCACAGAAAACAAGGGCATAAAATACAAACTGGTTTTCAAGTCATTCATCTCACCTTTAATTTCAGCCATTTCTCTAGGACCCTCTTTTCATTGAACTGACAGAGAATTCCAGATAAAGATACACAGAATGTGCTTCCAGCGTTCCTGCCTTTGCCACAAGCAACACCACCAAAGATATTATTGTGGAGGTCACCAAGCAGTCCGGAGCGGCCAACCAGAGGAACCGTCCCAACCTAAACAAACAGACACAGTTGTTTCATAGATTTCATCAGATCATAGTAAATTGGAACAGATTATGTGACATATACATAGATTTCATATTGCAAGTTAATTCTAGGCAATGGGCAACAGTATGAGAAGGCATGCTGTGTAGGCCACAATCGTACAAGGTCTTCTGGAATGTGGCCAAAGCAGAAATCCTCCAGAAACATGTCAGATGTGCCTACGCAGAACATAGTGCAAGCCTCATGGTAACAAACATGAGTCTCCAGAATATTAATATTCCATTACCTGTAGAGCTGCAGCTAACGATTATTTTCAAAATCGATTAGTTAGCCGATTATTAAGTTCGATTAATCGGTTAATCGGATAAACAATAAAATAAAGTTTAAAAAATGGCTCCAGTGATAGGACTACTAGTTTGTATTGAGGTTGTAGTCCATCACAGGAGCAAGCTTGGAGCGGTGGAAGTAAAAAAGAAAAAAAAGATAGTGTGGTGTGCAATATAGTGAAATGGAAAGTGTAAAATTATACAGCAATGAATGCAGAATGGCACCGGCTATAGAGGACTACAAAACCCAGCAAAAGCACATTATACAGCACAATGCAGAACACCGCCAGCTATAGAGGAATACAACAAATCCCAGCAATAGTACATAATAGCTGGCGGCATTCTGCATTGCGCTGTATAATGTACTATTGCTGGGTTTTGTAGTCCTCTATAGCTGGTGGTATTTAGCATTGTACCACTTTATAATGTACTATTGCTGGGATTTGTTGTAGTCCTCTATAGCTGGTGGTATTCTGCATTGCGCTGTATAATGTATTATTGCTGGGACTTGTAGTCCTCTATACAGCGCAATGCAGAATATCACCAGCTATAGAGGAGTACAACAAATCCCAGCAATACATTATACATACAGTGTATAATGTATTGCTGGGATTTGTATTCCTATGTATAATATACAGTACAATGTACCATCAGCTATAGAGGAATACAAATCCCAGCAATACATTATAGAGCACCATGTGTGGGAAAGTGCAGGCTTACCTGACCAGTCTTCCAGCAACTTGCTTCTGAGATTGGACCTGTCTATCAGCGGCTGTCATCCCCCCCCCCCCTGCTCCTCCTTACTACATCTCCCCGCGTGCCTTGCCGATCGTGGATGGGCAGGAAATGTGAGGCGGGGAGGAGGTGCGGCGTGTGGAGCGTGGATGCGAGCGGGCCTAACAGCGGCGAGCCTGAGGTGGGGAGGAGGTGCGGCGCACAGCGTGTGGAGCTGTGAACAGGGCCAACTGATCGGAAGCCGATTAATCGATTATTGAAAAAGTTGACAACTTTTTCAATAATCGATTATAATCGATTATGTCGATTAGTTGTTGCAGCCCTAATTACCTGGACCCACTATTTTACTCTCCACAGTGCAATGTATATTGAAGTGACAGCCCCCTCATCACATCTTCATTGCCCAATCTCTACAAACTCACTGGGCTCAGCTTCAATTAGCTAACACAGCAGCCATTTTGTTCTGTGCATATGGGGCTTATTTGTATGGTACACCTATACCAAGAATGTGAATAAGATAAACCCCTGACTTCAAGCTGAACTTCAGGAAAAAACAAATAAAATACGTACGCATAAGAGAGCCATTTTATCTGCCAAAGGATTTGTATTTCTAGCCCCATCTAGCGGGAGTTGATCACTTCCTGCTACAGTTTAACTTACAGCTTTCTTCCCCAGCCGGTGAATGGACAGTACAAGCAGAAGCAACAGATCGATGAACTTGTCTCTCCGTTATTCTGCTCTTTCCTCCAATCAGAATGCTTTCTTGCACTGTGGCACACCTGAAGGGCTCCTTGTGCTGCTTCTACCTCTACTCTCTGAGCTCCACTGTACAGTAGACTGCAAGAGGCTAATACAAGTCAAATCCAGGTAGATACATTGCTTACATTAAAAGAAATTCATTTATTTATGAAGAATTACTGAGCAGTGTCAATGTGTGCCTTGTATATCTGCCTGGAGTTCAGCTTTCAGGAAGGTAAACATATGCAAAAGTTCAGATTAAGGTGAAAAATAAAAAGTGCTTTATATAATTCAGTGCTGGGACTACAAACAGAGAAGGGGCCAGCGGGAGCAAAGAAGGGTAACTAATGTAACTAGATGAAAAGTTGACGATTAATTTGCTCTATGAAGTTTCTGTGCCTGCAGGACGATGTTCTTCATACCACCATCATGTACATACCTGAGATTTCTTTGGAGTCTCCAGATACCAGAACTTGACATGACGGTGACCTGCAGTCACAAAATAGCTGCTGTCTTCAGAAAAAGACACGGCGCTGACCTTACTGGAGACTTTGTTCTTGGCGACTACATTACTGTTCTGTGGAGACATTAAAATGTAAAAGAAAAGATGATGTACACACTGGGAAAAAAGAACCCCACACTGCTGATGAGACCTCTAGACTAAGACAACCCATACACACTACATGGGTCAATTAGCTTGGATTAAGATTTGTTTGTGTTTAGAACCTCTAAATCATACCTGTGCTTTGCCTATGTAGTACAAAGTGACAGGTTCCCATTAATGCCAGTACTATGAACAGCTCATATCTACGTTCTCTTTGCTGTCCCACTGCTCCATTCAGCTGCTGGGAATGAAGAAAAGTTCCTGTCTTTTCAAGGTATGTGACTCACTGCCTTTTCTTCCTAGGTGGCACCATTGGCGTTTTGGCAGTTGACCCTTCACGGCCCGTGTTGGTGATCTTTTTGTTCACGTCAGACAGGTTTTGTATACAAGTCTATGGGAATGCAAAACCTGCTAGAAGCAAGTAATTTGAAGGTCAAGTGCACCTGAATTCTAACTGATCTTTGAAGAATCTCAAACCGATACCATTGACACAAGCCCAAAGCCCATTAACAAAGGCCTTTAAACAACCAGTCACACAAGAGAGTCCTCAGCCCTGTGTAGGCTCCATGTTGTTTCCTCTCTTCATTTCCAATGACGGAAGAGCAGTGAAGGAGCAAAGGAAAAGGTTTAAGTATGCCTGACCTGGCCTAAAGTGCTTCAGATGTAACAATAATGTGAGTCACAAGGACTTCTGAGGCTTCTACGACTTTCTTGATTTGCATTCTTCGTCCAGGTCTAAGAATCAGAAATATATTAAAAGGAGAACTATGAGGTGAGTGCTTTTCACTCACCTCATAGTTCTAGCCAACCTGTGACAATGAGACTGATGGGACAGCACGACAGTCAGGAAGCTAGTGTTTCCAGAAGCAGGCCAGAAATGGCAGACCCATACGTTCCTAATGACAGTTAACTTTAAACCTCCTCTATAGATTATCCCAAGGTTCAGTTAGCAAACTCTTCTTACCTTCCAGTCCCATACATTGACCACCATGTCATGCTGGTACCCCACAGACACAACGTACTTCATGTTGGGGGAGAAGCAGACGCAGGACACTCCATATTTGTGTCCGAGCAGCTCAGAGACCTGAACCTTCTCTGCCACATCCCAGATCCGCACAGCTGGTTTGTGGCCGCTCTGAAGAGAGAAAATGGACAACATAAAAATATTGAAAGGATTTTAGAAGGGAATAAAAGGAACAGGACGGTGTGAAAACTAAATGTCAACCATTCAAACACAGCAGTATAGCCAAATGGGCATGAAGACCGAGGCATTGGCTCATGTGATCACTAGCAAAAGGGGAAAACTAGAGTTCAGGCCATCAAACTGGGTCTGTTCACATGGGCTTTAGCACAGAAAGCTTTCAACAAGATTCAAGCAGCTTCCTTCAACCATACATTCTGTTCCAGTAGGATGTAAAACACAGATCCTAATGGCACTGCTGTCACTAATAAAATAAATTAAAAAAATTAAAAAAGGGGAAGAACACTAGGTGAGTAAAGTTAACTCATACAGTGGGAGGCGACCCCTGTACTGCAAGGGTTAACTGCTTGTTTTTCTCTAGGGGCTAAAATACAGAGGATAAACCCACCTCATCCTCGGTCCTGTAGCAGTGACCACTCACCTCTCTCCCCATTTTGGCTGTGGAATGTCCCTCAGTATCCTGGCATCTAATGCAAGTGAATAGACTGCATGTGATGTGATGACATCAACAAGGCTTAGACAGCTGGAGCCTGGGTGAGAAGAGGCTGCGTGGACCAGTCTAACAACTAGGCATGATCAAAATTCGGGTGGGTATACATTTTTGTATTTTAACTCCTAGAGAAAAACGAGCAGA